GATCTCCAAATCGGCACATTGTGATTTAGTGATCCAAAGCACGGGGAAGTCATTTAAAGACCTAAATGCATGTGAAGGCATTGCATGGAGTCAGGGTTCCCGAGTAGTTTAGTCTTTCAGAAATCAAATGCTTTTAGATTTTAGGCTCTAATGCAGATACCATGGACTTGCCTTCTGATTCAGCATTTCATAGTCAACCTTGTTTCATGAATCTCTTCTTACCCTTGTATGTGAGCACACATTGAGAACTGTCACACCCCACAGGGATCATTCACTACTGGCATTGTCAGTGACCACACTGCCTATAAATGCATCTTTTAGCTGGACTTCAAATGTAGGGACCTCAATTTATGATAAGAACTAACTTTTAAAAATGTAGATAGTTTAACTGAGGCAGAATTCCCATATCATTCACTACCATAGTTCAAGCATATTGAAAAGAACTGTATAATTATCACTACAATCAGTTCTAAAACATTTTTTTCCTGTATTCATTATTAGCTCACCATTTCCCTCCAGTTCCCCCTCCTGTACCCCAAATAAGTATTACTCCCGTTATTGTCCATAGATTTTCATATGCTGGAAAACATATAAAATTAAAAGCAAAAAAAAAAAGCCATCAGAAAAAGAGCAACAAAAATATCAAAATAAGCCACAGGGAAAAAAATCTCAATTGAGAGAAAAACAGGAAATATTTTAACAGTAGAACAATTGGAAAATAGGTCAATCAAATGATCAGGTGTTAAATTTTAACCTAATTAAATCTGCCATAATCGAGTTTACAATACTGTTAATAGCAAGGATATGCATACTGCTATACTATGATTGGAGGGGAATCACCAAAGGCTTGTGATTCCCTGTGCCCTGGCCTCCAACCGTCATCCACAACTTCTGAAAATTGACTATTCACAATTTATCCTCTGATACTGTTGCCTCCTTTGGATTTTATTATTATTTCTTTTTTATTCTAATGAATTTATTGGAGACTCTTACAGCTCATAACAATCCATACATCAATTGTATCAAGCACATTTGTACATATGTTGCTGACCTTGAGGATGTGTGAAAGAGCTCATCCCTTGATGAGGAAGAAGGTTTTGTGTTATCAAAGAACACCTGGGGGCACACCACCTGGTGCTGGAGGCGTTCTATTTGTGTACTGTTTGCGGGGGACACTGCTCATCTACCTCTGGTTCTTCTGGTCTGAACAAACAGGGGATGCCACACGTGAGGGTGGCGTGCATCTAGCACTCAGTTCAGCACATGCCCCCTATCCCACAGGATAGGGGCTTTGCAGGGGGGGTGTTGTCACTCACCACTGATAGGTGGGGCTTTGAGCTGGCTTCCTTTTGCTCCTCAGCCGCCACTGTGGGCCTTTGCTGGCCCAGGGGGACAGAAGTTATTATCTTCAGGTGGCAGTCCCTCTCAGGCACTTCTTGTGAAAGTTAACAGTAGTTGCACTGTGTCAGACCTGCTGAGAATTCAGCTCCTCTGTACCCTCACCACTTCAATCTGACCTGTGTGGGTGAGGAGGGTGCAGTTACGTTTTGAAGTAAAAAGCAAGCTTCAGGGAACAGACTTGAGGGCTTCTAGACCAGAAATGAATCAGGGTAGAAAATCCAGAGAACCAAAGAAAACTGACACCTCTGTTGACTGAGGTCAATGGGAGAGGACAGGATATCTGTGAAAAGGCCTAGGATTAGAGCCCACAAGTAAGGATTCATTGGGCCTCCACTGAAGTACACCCTCAACCCAAGAGCACTTTGTTCTATCAACCTGGCATTGCATGATGCTCACTTTCTGGACAAGATCACTGAAGACAAAGCAGGTGCATAAGCAATTGTGGTGAAGAAAGCTGATGATGCCTGGCTACAAAAGATATAGCATCTGGGGTCTTAATGGCTTGAAAATAAGCGGCCATCTAGCTGAGAAGCAACAAAGGCTACATGGAAGAAGCAGACTGTGTGCTTATGAGGTGTCATAGGATCAGGTATCAGACATCAAAAACCCAGAACAAAATATC